CTTTTTTTTGCGTGTACTTTTTAAATGCTTTGAAAGCCCTATTTGGATTCTGGTTCAAATTCCATTGAATACACAAGTCATTTTTAGGTATGTTAGTATTTCTAAATTTTCCTTTCCAAGAATATGTCATCTCTATGCACTAATTTAGGCCTCCCTTTAGACCCTTTAGTATTTATTTCCCCAAAGGTATCTCACACACTTTTTAGATTAACTGCTACATCTTTTACACTGTTTTAAATAGTACCTTCTAAAATCAAGCGTTGATTCATAGGTACAAAGTGTGAGCAACAATGGTAAGCACTGATGTCCCAAAACACAAAAGAAAAAATATATAAAACATCCAATATAATGAAAGATTCTCCAAATAAAGATCTGAGTTAACAAAACCAAGCATCAGAAATTATCAAAACCAGTAACCTGGGGCTGGCTCTGTGGTGTAGCAGGTAAAGCTGCCACCTGCAGTGCCGACATCCCACACAGGCGTCAGTTGGAGATCTGGCTTCTCCACTTCTGACCCAGCTCTCTGCTATAGCCTGACAAAGCAGTTGAATATGGCCCAAATGCTTGGGCCCCTGCAACCACCTGGGAGTCAAGGAAGAAGCTCCTGGCTCCTGATCAGCCCAGCTCCAGCCACTGGGGAGTGAACCACTGGATGGAAGATCTCCCTCCTTCTGCCTCTTTGTAACTCTGCCTTACAAATAAATAAATCTTAAAAGAAAAAAAAAAACCGTAATGTATCCAAAGCAACTATAGCTACTGGATAGCACATGTGTGGGGGGAAAGGGGTAAGCACAGATTTTTAATCCAGACCTGTCTCAGCTCTAAACTCATGTTGTTTCTTTTTCCACATGATATTCAGTTCTCCACTGACAACAAATCTTTCTATATGCAGTATTACTATCCTGTAGTGGATCCTAGATATGAAAAAAGGACATCAGTAGAGAAACTGGTGAAATCCTAATCAAGTCTGGAGTTCAGTTAAAACTAATACATCTGGGGCTGGCACTGTAGCATAGCAGATAAAGCCACTGCCTGCAGTGCCAGCATCCCTTATGGGCACCAGTCAAGTCCCAGCTGCTCCACTTCTGATACAGCTCCCTGCTAATGTGCCTAGGAAAACAGTGGAGGATGGGCCCAAGCCCTTGGGCCCCTGTTCCCATGTGGGAGACCTATAAGAAACTCCAGGCTCCTGGCTTCAGACTGACCCAGCACTAGCCATTGTGGCAATTTTGGGAGTGAACTGGAGGATGTAAGACCTCTGTCTCTGCCTCTCTGCAGCTCTGCCTTTCAAATAAATAAAAATAAATATTTAAAATCATACTAACACATAAGTGTTAATCTCTTAACTTTAACAATTACACTAAAATTTAAGATGTCAGTATTATGGAAAACTGGGACAAGAGTAGGCAAAAGTGCAATTGTCTGTAAATCTAAAACTGTTACAAAATAAAAAGTAGATTCAAAACTGAAAGATATCAGAGGGAGAATTTAACCTACCAGTTTTATGCCTGTGTCCCACATAAGACTACTTGGGCCCAATACTGGGCTATTGACCCCAGCTTCCTGCTAATGCAAAGTCTGGGAGGCATTGGTGTCTGTTCAAGTAATTGGATACCAGCTACCCATATAGGAAATCTGAATTGAATTCCCATCTTTGCCAGGCCCCAAGAAGCACAATCAGGGAGTCAATCAACAGATGGTTGCTCTGTCTCTCAAAGAAATACTTGGCAATTTTAAAAGAAATATCTCAAAATGGTGCCTTGGGTATGCTTTTAAAATCTGAAATGTGAGAAAATTTATTGTGTGAAAGTAAGTTTTTACAAGGGTATGCTTTGCTTTGAAGATTATTTTTACTGATTATCTTTTAAAAAAATTATCAGTCTGAATTTAATTAATGGCTTTTAGAATAGACTTGCAGTGTAATTTCTTCACTTTCATTTTTCCTTTCAAGTAGATAAGCATTTTATATAAGACTATAGGCTTTGAAAAACCTAAGGTGATCTGGTAGTGATGAACTGATTTCCATTTTGTTACAGACATGACAGAAGTTCTATTAAAAAAAAAAAAACTTGTAACAGTAAGAATTAAATTTAAAGGATTAATAGAACTGACTCATTTCAGGAGCTTTCAGAGACTGAAATAATCAGGACTTCAGAAATTTTCAGGAGCAGAAAAGCTGAAGCATGTAATTAGGTAGAAAACACAGAGGAGTTGAACTACATTAAGAAGCAAAAAAAAAAAATTGAGAATGAGGGAACAGAAAAGGAAATTAGTGACAATCAGGGATTATGGTGTCTGTAAAGAATCAAGATGTGATCAGTTACATAGTAGAGGGATAACACAATTGGGAATTCTACTCATCTGACCATGTCACTGCCTCATTCCAAGTCTTCTGATGGTTCTTGTCACTCAGAGCCTCAATCACAGATCCATGGAGACACTGATGACTTGACACTGTGTGTCCCCACCACTTCTGATTCCCTCTTCCACGTTTCATCCTCTCCCCCATCATACCATTACTCCTCTAGCTAGCCATGTCCCCACACAGTTCCTTAGTCACAGGCCAGGCCTTTGCATTTGCTGATCTGCCTTCCTGGAATAACCCCTCCCAGATATCCCTATGACAAATTCCATCCTCTGCAAGTTTTGCTCAGAGACTAACTTTGCTGTGACTTGACATTCTATTTCAAACAGTGGAACCCAATCTGCCCTACTTGGCTTTTATTTTCTCGTAGTTCCTTCCTCATCTAACACTGTAATTTTATTCAAAGTCTGTCTCCATAGGCACTAGACTGCAAGCTTTCAGAATTTTCCCATTTTCTTCCCTAAGGGTTCCTCTAGTACCTACCCAGTGCTGACAACACAGTATATGCTCAATAAGTATCTGTCAAATCAATTAGCACCAAGAGGTGATTTCTTTCACCATGATTAAAATTCCATTAGTAAGACATTGGTAACTTTCTAAGTCACTAGAGCAAAGTTATCTTTTCGCTTATCTGCGTTTTCTGGTTTTCTCTACCCTGAACAATTACCTCTGTAATGTTTTTAAAGGAGATTTTGTTTTGGTAACAGAGTAGACAATTATTGATCTAAGACCATTTTAATTAACTCACATTTAATATCATTAAGAACTAAAGTTCATTCTTCCAAGGTTTGTTCTCATGAGCTTAAATACCTTTTAGTTATTGCCTAAGTTAATGCCTGTAAGTCTGCATATTATAGAAACTTTACATGGGCAAATACTAAGTACCATGAATCCCTAACAAGCTAACTGAAACATAAAATTCCAACTTTCAAAGATGGGGAAATGGACACCTAGAAAAATCAAGTCGCTTCCTCACTGTCAGGAACATAGTTGGTTGCACATGAGCTAGCCCTAAACCAAAGATTGAAACATTACATAGTGGCCCTGCCATTACCATGTCCAAGTGCAGTGACAAGTTTGGACTGAAAAGGTTCAATCCACCATTGGACTAGATCTTTATTTTGTCCACCTCTTTCCATTTCGTTATTAAAGTGTGCTTTTGAACAGCGGCTTCATATCATTTAAACATGCAAGATTCTCTCTTCAAAAAGATCACTTGCTAAACAATATGTTCACATCCCCTTCGTATTTCAACATGCTCAAGGCCCACTTGTTCAGTCCCCGCTGAACAGTCAACATCTCACCGAAGCTTGTGCCTTATTCTCAGAGAAATGTGAGGCCAGCATATTTCATCAGTTTTTGTTTTCAGTGGATGGATTGTCAATTAACTCTCATGAAAGCAAATACAAACAGCCTTCAGGGTCTGAAAAGCTTTCATTTATATTTTCAAAAACAAAATTGTTGCACTGAAAAACTGCACAGATGCCATTGTTTTGTCATAAGTGGGAGAAAAAAAATCCAGTATATTTTCTTCTCAGAGGCAGCAATAGCAGTTAATCCACACACATGCAATCCCCAAGTCCCCAGACAGCCATCCTGGATGGTATAGTGGCACACAGACAGATATTTTGGCCAAGAAAGTCTATAAAATGAAGTTGCTATGGACCAAAACAACCATATTGATTTTTAGTACAATTCACAACACAAAGAAACAACAGTTTTCTAAAGGGTACGAGCTGTAAAAGACAGGGAGATATATAGTGCAGATACTGGAGAGAAGGAAGAGAATAAAAGGCCAATTAGGAAACATCCAAATGTTCTTTTAAGTCATTTGTTTTATTAAGTTTGAAGAGCTGAAATGGATGAATTATGCTGAACTGCTCTTATCTAAACATCTAAGACCCTCATTTAGAGAAACTGAGACCTAACCCTGAAGCCTAGGTATCCAGTAGACCTCCACAAAATAAATCCTTATAACTTGTTATGCTCTGAATGGGATCTGGCTCCCTACAATGATGCACATGTTTAAACACCAAACAGTCAATGCATTAATTCTAACAGTTGATGGATTAAGGGTCACCCGATGTAATTACGGCATCTGGGAGATGCACTTATATGGACGGTCTTTAGGTCACCTTGGGCTTGCCCTTGGAAGGCAGTTCTTGCAAGAGGGCTGGTCATGCAGAAAGAGAACTCACCCTGTGTCAGCCTACTTCCTGACCATCCACATTGTCACCACTCCACCATCTCTGGCCTTCCCCTGATAGATGAACCAATACAGTTGCCCAGACTCCAACAGTGAGAACCTCCAATCTCTAAGCTCAAATAAACCTCCTACCTTTCTTTGTGAAGCCTCTCAAATATTTTAGAGATGATGTGCTGATATATAACCCTTTGAATATTTGAACATTTCTCCAAAACTACTCAACTGTTACTTAAAATTTTCCAGTTAACCTCTATCTCCACAAACAACAGAATCCCCTAAATTGCATTATAAATACATCATTTAAGAAAACATCATTCAACATGCTGCAAGCAGACATTTTCCTTAAACTTAATCCAATAAAAAGACTTCCACCTCAGAGACCTCTGGGTAGAGGTTTCAGGGTAGGGAGAGAGACCAACCAGGACTTACCATAGCCCCCTCATTTGCTCTTTGGGCAACTTCCCGCTGCAGTTGGGCCACCGCCAACTTCTCCCTGGAGAAACAAAAGCACATGATTACTGGACCATTCCCAGGGTAGAGGGCACACTAGCACGGCTATGAAACATTCCTCTTTGGTCTCCAGAGGAACTCCTTCCTCTGCTCTTTCTGGCTCATGTCCTCTACCACATTTTCTATAAAAAAGGTTAAGTGATTAGTGCATTGCTTTCATGCAGTGTCATTGAAGATGTTTTTCCTTTGGACTTTATAATGTCAAATGCTAAGTTTTAATTACATTCACTAATATGTCATATATAAATCAGTGTTCCACAGATGAAGTATGTCACTTCTTTCTGTACCAACTTTGCTTATAAATTTTTAATTACTTCATCTGTTGCTCCACGCCAATACTGATGTTTAAAACGCTAAATGTATACACTCTTCTTAAAATAGTAATAGCAATCAGGTGTAAGTTAGGTGGAATTTTAGATTTCTTTACTTCAAAGCCTAAATGAACTTATTTTTCAAGGTCTAGGAAGTATGAAAATAAAGACTTTATTATTTCAGCATTCTTTAACAATGAGGTTGATTTATAGTCCTTATAATTCTGAACTCATTTACAATGTATTAAATATTCCTTAAAATTTTAACATTTTTGTAAAGTTATGGGTAACTACACTTTCAACAGCTTTTCAATGAGTTTCTGAATAGCTTATAGATAATGACACAAGGGTAAGTGAACTCTACTTGTAATGTGTTAGTTTTACCAAGCATTTCAGTTTTAGCAAGGCTTTCTCCTGAAACCCTTCTGTAACTATCTAGATCTGAAGGTATCTGGGTATCCCACCTCTGTTAACTCTTCGATTGCACAGGATTCACTATGTAGAGGCAGAGGAAGCAGGTTTGTTTGAGCTGAGTTAGAGCAAGCATTTCTTCTCTTTTCACTGCTTGGATCTATGAAATGCCCTTCACTACATAGGAACCTGCTTTCACCAGGTTTAGATTGAGCAGTTTTCTAGTAGCAGCAGTTCTCTGAGTAAATAACCAAGAACACAGGATTTAAAATAGAAAAGTGGAACAAAGAGATTCTCAGCAAAGGCCAGTTCTGGAGCCTAAAGCAGGACCTGTGCATGCACATATAAGGAGGCCTACAAAGGGGACAGGAAGGAACCAGAGATGCAAATCACAGGCCCCTGAGGTACACAGGGCAGCATGTCCATGTCCCTGTCCTGTTAAGCAGATAAAGGGCAAACAGAATAAACAAAGACTTGCAAGAGACGAAGATAACTGATTTTCTATTTTATTAAAATTAAACATATGCATTTAGTTATTCTCTCCCTAGACACTATTAAAAATGCACCAAAAGAACAACTTTGGTAAAAAACCAAACTCAAAGAAAGCAGAAAATCATACTCCATACCCTACAACCAAGCAATTCCACTATGGAATCGAAACACACAGAAGAGCCAACACACATTTCACACACACACACACACACAAAAATACTAAGGCACTTCACAATGTTCATGTAAAATCAAATTAGAAGTTTATTTTGGTTCCCCAGAACCTGAAACCTATGGCAGTTTTAACTTCCTAACTATGCATTCTACATGATCTGTTTTTAAGACCCATGTGTTATAAGGTTCAAGGGTACATGCTTTGCAATAGCCTTCAGGTATTGCCTTCAGGTAAAAATGCACATGCTCAGTAATAAACTGGTAAGTACCCTTTGAAGTATTGCAGTACATGATTAAGCTCAAGCAGTGAGAAAGAGTAATCTACACCTAAGCACAAAAACATACAGAATTTCACAAACATGCTGTTGATAGAAGCAAATGCAGGAGTATATACACTTTTTTATTCCACATATATAAAGTGAAAATAGTCACACAGGCAAAATTTCTATCCAGTTTGATAACACAAACAAATATGAATTTCAAATATGGAAGAGGTGAAACTGTCTACTCAGAGGTAGTATAATTTTCTAATTTAAAGTCTTAATTTTTAAAAAACTGTACAAAAAGTAAATTTAGCAAAGTTATAGAAGTCAATGTACAACAATCAGGTTTTTTTAAAGGTTAATTTATTTATTTGAAAGTAAGAGTTATACAGAGAAAGGAGAGGCAGAGAGAGAGAGAGGTCTTCCATCCAATGGTTCACTTCCCAATTGGCTGCAACAACCGGAGCTGCGCCGATCTGAAGCCAGGAGCCTGGAGCTTTCTCTGGGTCTCCCACGCAGGTACAGGAGCCCAAGGACTTGGGCCATCTCCTACTGCTTTCCCAAGCCATAGCGGAGAGCTGGCTCAGAAGTGGAGCAGCCGGAACTTGAAGCAGTGTCCATATGGGACGCCGGCACTTCAGGCCAGGGTGTTAACCCACTGCACCACAGCGCCAGCCCCAACAGCAATCAGTTTTTTAAGAAAAAAAATTTACTTATTTATTTGAAAGGCAGAGTGATAGTTACACACAGTGCATGTTTCCATCTACTGATTCACTACACAAATGGTCACAACAGCCAAGATTGGCAAACCAAAGCAAGGAATTCCACCTAGGATTCCCATGTGAACAGCAGGAGCCCAAGTACTTGAGTCATCTTCTACTGCTTTCCCAGGCACATTAGCAGAAAATTGGATCATAAGTGGAGCAGCTGGGATTTAAACTGGCATCGTAATATGGGAGGCCAGGACCTCTACAATGCCTGTTTTGAATCATGTTGTTTATATCATTACACCAGGCAATAGGAAAATAAAATTTAAAAAACATCTATTCACAACAGTGTCAATGAAGAAACTATCCAAGGCATCAACTTTGTTCTTGCTCTATATTCCTATTTTTTTCTTTTTTGAATAAAATTATTTCCAAAATAGAAGTTCTAGGTTTTTTTTTTCATCCTTTTCAATGGTGAAAATCATAGGAAGGTAACAGGAATATTTACCAAGTTATTTACTTTAATTATAATAAATTTCCATGAAGGTATTTATATTGTTGATGGCTCTGAAAGTCTCTACTGTGTTTTCTTTCAAGACAGAAGGACATAAGTCTTCATTCAACTTATTCTCTCACTCCTCCACCTCTTTCCTAATATCTATAGGTATTTGTCAAATAAATGAAAATTGGTAACATTTTAAAATATAAATCCATTAAAAACAACCCACAATTACAGATGTAAAACTACCTTAAATTTCTTTTTTTTGTATTTACTATACTATACATTTAATTGTTATTTATACTCCTTTTTTTACTCTTTTTTTCCACTTATTTAATAAATATAAATTTCCAAAGTACAGCTTTTGGATTACAGTGGCTTTTTCCCCCCCATAACTTCCCTACCACCCACAACCCTACCATCTCCCACTCCCTCTCCCATTCCATTCACATCATGATTCATTTTCAATTATCTTAATATATACTAAATTGATCTTCTATATATAAAGTAAAGATTTCAACAGTTTGCATCCACACAGAAACACAAAGTATAAAGCACTATTTGAGTACTAGTTATAGCATTAATTCACATTGAACAACACATTAAGGACAGAGATCCTACATGAGGAGTAAGTGCACAGTGACTCCTGTTGTTGACTTAACAATTTGACACTCTTGTTTATGGCATCAGGAATCACCCTAGGCTCTTGTCGTGGGTTGCCAAGGCTATGGAAGCCTTTTGAGTTTGCCAACTCTGATCTTATTTAGACAAGGTCATATTCAAAGTGGAAGTTCTCTCCTCCCTTCAGAGAAAGGTACCTCCTTCTTTGATGGCCCATTCTTTCCACTGGGATCTCACTCGTGGAGATCTTTCATTTAGGTTTTTTTTTTTCCAGAGTGTCTTGGCTTTCCATGCCTAAAATACTCTCATGGGCTCTTCAGCCAGATCCGAATGCCTTAAGGGCTGATTCTGAGGCCAGAGTGCTGTTTAGGATATCTGCCATTCTATGAGTCTGCTGTGTATCCCACTTCCCATGTTAGATCATTCTCTCCCTTTTTAATTCAATCAGTTAGTATTAGCAGACACTAGTCTTGTTTATGTGATCCCTTTGACTCTTAATCCTATAAGTATGATCAGTTGTGAACTGAAATTGATCACTTGGACTAGTGAGATGGCATTGGTACATGCCACCTTGATGGGATTGAATTGGAATCCCCTGGCACATTTCTAACTCTACTGTTAGGGGCAAGTCCGATTGAGCATGACCCAAATGGTACATCTCCTCCCTCTCTTATTCCCACTCTTATATTTAACAGAAATCACTTTTCAGTTAAATTAAAACACTTAAGAATAACTGTGTTAATTAAAGAGTTCAACCAATAGTATTAAGTAGAACAAAAAAAATACTAAAAGGGATAAAATATTAAGTTGTTCATCAACAGTCAGGACAAGGGCTGATCATTTGCAACAAAATGGAGGAATCTGGAAAACATCATGCTGAGTGAAATAAGGCAGTCCCAAAGGGACAAATACCATATGTTCTCCCTGATCGGTGACAACTAACTGCGCACCAAAAAGGAAACCTGTTGAAGTGAAATGGACACTATGAGAAACAATGACTTGATCAGCAAAACAATCTTACATTTCAAAACATAAATTTCACAAGTAGAGTGACACTGCATCAGATTTTTGCAAATATCTTTGATGTCTGGCTTAATAGCAGGCAACCAGTCTCATGTTAGCTTCTGGTTTCCACCTATTGTGACAACACATTATGTGCCTTTTAGAAAATTCCATTCATGAAAGGACATGAATGAAAAAGGCAAATATCATCTAGTATTATAACAAATATAGTTTTGATCTTACAGATCCCTTCAAATGGACTTGGGGATGTCCAGGGTCCCAGGACCACACTTTGCAAACTAGAAGATACAGAACTAGGAATGTGTGAATCATCTAGAAAATCCCCTTGGATCATCATTTCTGATTACTCAATCCTCTAAGATTTAATTTGCATACTGAAGGCTTTTTTCTCAAGAGCAGTTTAACATGAAAGACATTTCTACAGAGTTAATCTGACTGTGATCACTCTACTAAATTTTAAGGGAGGCCTAATACAGTAAAGGGGT